AGTTACTCTCTCTCTGTGTGGTATATATATGTGTGTATACATGTTTTACATGTGTGGAGGCCAGAAGTCGATGGCAGATGTCTTCTTCAATTACACTCCACCCTATTACAATTTTACAAGAGACAGAGTCTCTCACTAAACTTGAAACTCACTGATTCAGCTAGGTTGGCAGGCCAGCAAGTCTCATAGGTCTTTCCATCTCAGATATGGGATTACAAAAAGAGCTGGGTACACAGCTTTATATATCTATGCTAGGGAGGGAACTCAGGCCCTAATATTTGCACAGTAAGCACTTTACCCACCAAGCCATGTCCCTAGCCCTTAAACATTTTTGAAACCGATGTGCTGGGATCTGTTAAATTATCTGGCAGAACTAATCAATACTACTCATCCCTTTGGACAAGATTCTGTACATGGGAGAAAGAAAGATTTAACTCTTTATGGGATACACCATGAACTTGAGAGCCATCACTTGTTTACTGTGAGATTCTGAGCAAGTTGATCACAGATCTTTTTAAAACTTTTGTTACCATAAACCCCACATCACCTTAGAATACATTTCTGCTCTGTTTCCACAGTCTCCAGGAAGGTTTGCCTTCTAGAAGTTGTTATCAGGGGAACGTGATTCTAAGGGCTTTCCTCTCTCACCAGCCCAGGGACAAATGGGTACATCACAGTACACAGACAGCTTCATATACTGTTCTTGAATTTTGAACTTATTGTTATTGCATATATGTCTGATGTGGGTTATGTGTGTATAGGCACCTGTATTATGGTGTGGGTGTAGAAGTCAGAGGACAACTCTGTGGAACCATTTCTCTCCTTCCACATTTCTTGTGGGCTCTGGGGATTGAACTCAGGTCCATAGGCTTGCACATCAAGTGTCTTTACTCACTGAGCCATCTTAGTGCTCTCCAGCTTCATTTCTTGACACTCAAGAACATTTTCTGTTGGCAGGAGCCGGTTTTTTTTTTTCTCCCTGTGGATATGGGAAGCAGAAGATATAGGAACCTTTTACCCAACTCCCTCATTCATTTGAATGGAGTATAACCTTTGCTCACTTGCCTTTGGAAGTACTGCTCTGAGGCTCATATCCAACTTCCCCTACACAGGATTAATTGATAATGGTCACTTATTTTTGTCACTGTCCTTCCTCTTTTTATTGTATCCCTTTCTACTGTACTTTTCCTCTTTCCCTCCTGGAGCTTCCAAGGGGTAGCTCCCAATTTTTCTGCACTGAGATTGCTTCTAAGAGAAGAGGGTGATAATATTGGGATGATGAACCAAACAATGGTCCTACACAAGTCTGTAGATCAGGATGCAGGGTGATCAAAGCATTTTGAGATTTTCCTGGATAATCCATGTGGGCTTCCTGTAATAACAAGGTTTTTTATTTTTATTTTTATAATGGGAAGAAGACAAAGAAGAGAGAAGGCAAGGGGGGAGAGATGGTAATTATTTCCATAAGCTGAAAATAACCTCTGTAAGCTCAAAGAACAAGGATCAGATTCTCCTTAAGGAGCTACTAAACCACTGATCAATACCCTAATTTTAGCTCCATTGACTCATTGTGGACTTCTGACTTCCAGAACTATAAGATGGTATGTTTAAAACACTGAAGTTTGTGGGTTAGTTCTTTTGGTGACACTTCCCTACTAGGGCTCCAAGAAGTTTCAACTCTTCATGTAGCTGTGCTTAGCAGGAAGCAGCCCCATTGGTGTGAACCCAGATATCCCTTCCTCTCTCACACATTACTTTTTACTTGAATTAAATAGAGAAAAGATATATAACAGAAATATACTCCAAGTAGACATTCACTTCAAGTTTACTTCCAAGAATAGGAAAGTTAGTAATATATTTCTCTTATATCCTCAAAGCACAAAGGCCCCGGTGTCAGGACTGGAGTGTTGAAACTAGAGTTCTAAGCAGATCATTTAGACCAGCATTGCCTACTGGAAATATGATAGCTACATGGAGCACGTCTGATTTTTTGGTAGTTTGAAAAAAGGAGAAATAAATGAGTGAAACTAACTTCAATAGCATATTTTATCCAGTGCACTGTATCTACACTGTTACCATCTCAACATGTAATCAAGAAAAATGAATTACTGAGCGACTTTCTGTTCTTTTTTCCTCCATATTAAACCCTGAGATTCCAATGAATATTTTTCATTTATACCACTTCTCACCTTGGAAGGGCCATATTTCAGGCACACGGTCACCACTATATTGGCTGTTGATGATACAGTGGGTCCAGGGAATATAAATAGGTGCAATACTCAAAGGGTATTAAAAAAAAGTGCAAGGAAAACCAAATTCTGATGAGTATAAGAAGGTTACTACACAGCTAATAAATTACTTATTAGATCAGTGGTCATTGTCACCTATATACTAAGCACCATTTAAGAGGTATATAGTTTTCTGGGTCACAAAATCATGATAGTGTTCTAAGAAAAAGAATCGGTACTTCTTTATCTTATTATTTTTGAGACAGGTTCTCAAACTCATTACTTAGCTAAGAATGACTATGAATGCTTGATATTCTTGCATTTACTGCCTCTCCCAGTGCTGGAACTACAGCCATGCATCAAAACACCTGGTTTATTCTAGTTTATTCGAACACCTGGTTCGAACCCAGGACCTCATGCATGCTAAGCAGGCACTCTCCCAACTGACCTGCTTACATCCTCACCTCCTTTATTGTGTCCTTTCTTTCCTTTCTTTTCCTCTTTCTTTCTTTCTTTCTTTCTTTCTTTCTTTCTTTCTTTCTTTCTTTCTTTCTTTCTTTCTTTCTTTCTTTTTTGGTTTCACAAGCCAAGATTTCTCTGTGTTACAAGTCCTAGCTGTCCTGGAACTCACTTTGCTGACAAGGCTGGCTTCGAACCCATGGAAATCCACCTGCTTCTGCATCCGGAGTGCTAGGATTAAAGGTGTGCACTACCACCACCACCCAGCCGCCCTTTTATGCTTTTTATTAGAAAAATCTGTATGTACCAGCTATAGGTTTCTTTTCTATAAATTTCAGTGAAACATTTGAAAATAACTAGCCCATAGCCACACTGTTTTTTTTTTTTTTTTTTTAAGTGTGCCTTGCCTTCTCTGTAAATGAGCCTCACCCCTGGCGGTGTCTGGAGCTAATTAAAAATGTACCTGTGGCAGTTACCAAAATGCTGACCACTTGACATTTCCAAGCATATAGAGCAGGTCACCAACACACCAGCCAACAAACCTGACACTACAAAACAGTCACACTTCACATCTTTTAAAGTGCAGTACTGCAGAATCTTCACACAGATTCTTCAGATATATTTATATGTTTCTGGAAGGAACCTTCTTCAGGAGGCTTCTTCTGCTTTTAATTTAATTTCGTGGCACTTTGAAAGTGGATCTTGTGGAGATCGGTTTGCTTGCTGCAAAAGAACTGCTAATCTCATCTCCACGTAACTCTTGGTCTTTCTTAAGTGGACTTTTTAACAAAACATGACTCTCCAGCATTCAAGGGAAATGTGACTGGGGCAAATTGCATCTGCTTACATTTTTATCAAGGGAAGGAAATTGAAACTTGCAACCGTACATTCGAAGAACTTGGTTTGAGGGTGGTTCTGTTTGAACTTCGAAATCCCTTAATACCATGGCAGACCCTGATGAAAGATTTTTTTTCTTTTGTAAGTTAAACAAAGTCAGGCTCTCCTTTAAGGAGCTGGAGCCAAACCAAGGATTTCTCTTCCGCCCGCCCCCTCCTCCTCTCCCTAGAATCAGCACTGAAAAACATCACTCAGCTGAGAAGGAGCCTGTGCCCCAGGAGACTTTGAGAAATACCTGGAGGTTGTTTTTTTGTTTGTTTGTTTGTTTGTTTTTGTTTTTTTTTTTCCATAAGCTGTCCTAACCTAGCTGCAGGTCCGTGGTGGTGTCTAAGCTGTTACTGGCATCTTACATGGGCCAGAGATACTGGTTAACATCCTACAGAACACAGGAGAGTTTGCCACCCCAACAAATGATGAACTTACCCTGTAGGTTCTTAATTCTGCAGCACAGAAACCCTATGTCAAAGTGCAAGGAAGAAGCAAGGCATCAGGTAGAGAAGAGTGAGGGGCAGCCAATTCTAGGGAGTCTTCCTGAAAAGGATGCCCTACTGCAGTATCGAGGATGCTGAGCTACTTTGATTGGGGTTGTTCCTGCTCTGTCACTTACTGGCTTTGTCTCTTTGGGCAAATTACTAGAGCTCATTTTTCACCTCTTCAAAGCAGAGATGGTAATCGCTTGAATACACAGAGGTTAGGGACTTCTGGTGGGTTAATGATTTGAAAGTGCTTGGTTTACAAGACACACTGTACCTGTATGTGTTTACTATGTGCAGGGAAATGTTTCAGAGCCCAGAACAGCCCATGAATAGAATTGCAAAACCACGAATGCGTTCAACTGTCATTTTACCAACGCGCACTTTTTAGCTCATCACCCCCAATCCAAAGGCATCCAGAACTGGAGGCAAGCAATGAGCTGCTGCAGTGCCCAACAGTAAATGCGTAAATGCGCATTCTGCATCTTCCTGTTTTTCTTCATTCTTTCCATAGCAAAACTAACGATTGGTAACCAGTGAGCGTCCTTTAGGGACAGTGGAAGAAACTAAACTCAGGTCGCGCTAGATACCCACAAGTCTGCCTGTACCGGGCTAGGCTGCAGAACACCAAGCCCAAATGCACCCACTGTCTGTGTGTCCAGCTTCCCTCCCCCTCCATGTGCCTGACAAACTCAGCCAGGTGGGACTCAGTATCCACAGACCACCGGAGGCCAAGCCTTGCCCAGTGGATGCAGGGAAGAAAGTCAGTGACCACTCGGGTCCGGGTCCGTATCCTGGTGAAATTCATCCCAAGGCGCACAGACACCTCAACCCCAACACCTAGGTACCCCCTTACATATGCCAGTCAGTGACAAAGGGCTCCAAAAGGAGGGTTCAGCCCCCCCCCCCCCCAGGGAGAACCGTGGTCAATGCAAACACTCACCTGGTTCCTACTCCACTTGCCACCCACAGGAGCAGCAGAGGGAGCACCAAGCCCCAGGGCGGCTGCATATTGGCGCGTGGCGGGAGGGGGGCTCTCGTTTCTTGTCCTGAGCCCCTCAGGACCTGGGACACAGAGGGACCACCGCCTCTTCTCTGCTTCCCTGGTCACCGACTTCTGTTTTTGCGCGCCGACGGCGGCAGGCAGCGCAGAGGGAACAGCCGGGCAGGAGAGCTGGAGAAGTTTTGGAGTTGCTAGTGGTTTGGGAAGCCCGGGTGAAGAGCCGAGTGCACCGCACCAGAGAGGGCGTGGCGGCTGAACACATCTGCCTGGGACCCGCCTCCTGGACGAACTAGGAGGCCTCCGTGCTCTTCTTTCACCCTTAACTCCTCCACGCCCTCCCACCCCCAGCTTCAATTCATTATAGGCTGCTCAGGGGCACCTCCGATGGCCAAGCAGTTTTCGTCTTGGGACAAACTGTGTGCACTGCTGCACTCCAGAGATTGAGAATTGAGAAGTCACAGATGCAAATTCATAAGCACACTGCAATCTTATTTCAATGGAGTTTTGACGGCCATCTAAATTGTTTTTTTTTTTTTTCCACACAAGGCAATCATGGGATGTTAGAGATGCTGTCTTGAACAAACCCTATCATTTGACAAGTGTCTTCTTCTAGTCATCAGCTTCAAATGTGACTCCACATGATACTGTGGTGTAGAACCTGGTGGCAAACCTCACAAAAAATAGTCATCTGGAAGAATGAACCTTAATTGAGAAAATGCCTCCATAATAAGCAATTCTTGGGGGGGGGGATATTTTCTTGATAAATGATTGATGTGGGCGGGTCCAGCCCCCTGTAAGCGGTGCCACCCCTACTCAGGTGGTCCGGGAAGGTATGAGAAAAGTAGCTGAACATCATTAAACAGTGTATCTGGATTACCTCTACCTCCAGGTTCCTGCCTTGAATTCTTCCACTGACTTTCCTTCAGGATGGGTCAGGATGAGTAAGCCAAACAACCCATTTTCTTCCCTAAGTTGCTTTTGGTCATGATGTTTTATCACAATGGAAAGGAAGCTAAGGCAGAAAAGCACAAACAAAGATCCATTATAAGTCCAGAGAATTCCTTCAGGTATCGATGAGTTATTTATTCTGACCTGTGGCAGAAGGAACACTGATTCTTCTTATCCCCACATTCACACCCTTTGACTTCATACAGGTAGAGCCCTTGGTCCCACACCTTGACATTGGGTTTGGTTTAGTGATTTGCTTTGGTTGATGGGGTTTGGGCAGAAGCATAGTGTACCAATTCCAAACCTATTCTAATTCTGACTCACCTCTGCTTCTCTTTGGGATATGAGACGACCAGTTAGTTTTGTGGCCTAAGAAAGATGAGGAATGGAACACTACCAGCTATCTGATCCACTAGAAGATGTTCGGCAAGAAGAAGGGCTGCTGATGTCGCCATGGATCCTTTGAACTAAGGTCCACAGTGCACACAAGCTACAGAGACTTGTTAGAATTGATTCTTTTCTTGTTTTTAAAATGTTTTACTGATGGGGACAAAGCAATGGCTCAGCTGTTAAGAGCAGTTGCTGCTATTACAGAGGATGAGCACAGACCAAAGAAAGAATTCCACCTTCCACCTAAGTCTGCCTACGTGAACCTTTGAGGTTTTTGAGAATGGGTGACTGCCATTGCTGAAAAGTCCACTGTAGCATGGGTGGCAACTCGAAGAAGCTCCATCTCTGAAGCTTGCCGTTCGACTTGCAAAAGGCTGTAAGGAAAAGTGCTTCATCTTCTGAGCAATTGCTCACTGGTTTCGTTTGGTTTGAGGACAGGCTCTCACTATGCAATCCTGGCTGACCTGGAACTGTATAGACCAGCCTGCCCCCAAACTCACAGAGCTCTTTATCTGTCTCTTCTTGGTGCAGTACCACCACCCCAGATTTTGTTTATCGTTTTGTTATTGTTTTTTTTTTTTTTATAGCCTTGGGGAAACTTGTTAATCTTATAACCTTCTGAGCTTCCAAAAGCCTCTAAATTTTGTTTTACCAGTTTCTTTTTTTCTGTGCAGCAGTGAGTGGTTCAAATGAGAGGAAATAGCTATGGGTCAGGTTATGAACTGTATACCCAAAATATTTTAAAGGAAATAGGATATGTATATTATCTTGGTGTAGGTTTTCCCACAGACAGACACTGGGACAAGGATTTGAGTGGAAATAGTTTGTTCTGGTGGCACTGGAGAAAATAGTCTGAGATGTGCTTTGTGTCACTGGAGCTTCGTTCCGGGAACACATATCTCCAAGGATCTTATCCTAAAGTGAGGGAGCTGGCTTGGTTGCACTCCTTCCCCATTCTGCCATAGCCTGACAGTGTCTACCAGGACACTGATCTTAGGAGTTCTGCTTTCTGTGCAGAGAGCAGAGTAGCAGGGATGACTCAGTCAAAGGACTGTAGATTTTGGCTGTTGACTGATTGGAAAGCAAAGTCCAGGGGGACATGAGCAAGATGCCATATTACTTGTTACCTAACCTAGAAATTCAATTGAACTGAATTTGCTCCTGCCACATTCCCCTAAATAGTCAGATGCTGATTCCTCACTCACTACCCACCCCTGCAGCGAAACAACTCTTCCAAAAGACTAATAAAATAAATAGCCTATTATGTGGAGCTCATCCTACCTTTTTGCAGGATGCATTATAAAGGTCAAAGGAGCATTTTGCACTAATATTTAACTGTCAGTTTATAGCTATCAGCAATTAGATTCTCCTTCCTTCCTTCCTTCCTTCCTTCCTTCCTTCCTTCTCTCTCTCTCTTTCAGAGTGAAGTTGTCTTTCACAGGCTTAAGTGCGGTGATGCTCATTTGAGCAGGTAGCTTCTAGGGAAGCCAAACACTCCTCATTAAAACCACCTATTACTATTATTTTGGGGGGAAGCTTGGACAAAAGAGATATCAGACCATATGAGGAGCAGAGAAGGCACTTGGAAATGAGGTATAGGCAGGTGAGATGTTAGATACAAATTGCCACCCTGAGGCAAGTATTTCGAATAACCCCATTGGCACTGCTAACTTTGAAGATCTTTAGAAGGCTCTACTCCATTTTACAAAGGGAAAATGATGTTTGATTAGAATATCATAAAATCACATGTACCTTGTATAGGAATTGTATTTTTTAAATAGTTCCCATTTAGCTCCCTGTCAGGAACAAGTATGATGGAATATTTTTGTGTTTCTTGAACACACACACACACACACACACACACACACACACACACACAGAGAGAGAGAGAGAGAGAGAGAGAGAAAGAGAGAGAGAGTCAGAGAGAGTCTAGGCTAGTGTTTTCAAACATCAGTGTCAGTGCAAATGACCCAAGGATCTCCTAAAAAGGCAGATACTGTTGTTAGGGTGGGAGGTAAGGTCCAAAAGCCTGTATAAAAAGCTTAAAAAAAAAACCACTCAGGTTGTTTGCTGGAGGATCATATTTATGGAAGTGACAGTCTACAGCTCATCTAGACTGGTAGTTAGAAAGCACATGGCATCACATGGGAAGCTTTGACATGACAAATGCCTGGGACACATCTCCAAAGAGTCTAATATCTGGGCTATGGCTTGGGCATAGAAACACTAAGAAATTCCCTAGGTGATTCTAGTGAACAGTCAATGTTGAGTGCCACTTATTCGAACCACTGACCACATTTTATAGCTGAAACAAAGTTAATACTCTTGTCTTCCCAGCACAGTCTTTCCTCTCATAATTCATAATATTTCTTTCTTTAGCCCCCATGTGTATGTGGTGTGCATACATGTTTGTGTGTGTAGGTATTTGTGTGCCGTATCCTAAGTGTAGAAGTTAGAGGACAATCTTTTTTTAATTAAATTTTATTTTTTTTATTATTAGTTACATTTTATTAACTCTGTATCCCACTCCCTTATTCCCTCCCAATCCCACCCTCCCTCCCTCCTCTCCTCCCTGCCCCTTTCCAAGTCCACTGATTGGGGTGGACCTCCTTCCCTTTCATCTGACCTTGTTTTATCAGGTATCTTCAGGACTAGCTGCAAAGTCCTCCTCTGTGGCCTAGCAGACTGCTCCTCCCTTGGGGGCGGGGAGGTCGAAGAGCCTGCCCTTGAGATCCTGTTAGAAATAGTCCGTGTTCCCCTTACTTTGGAAAACTACTTGGTCACTGAGCTACCACGGGCTACATCCGAGCAGAGGTTCTAGGTTATATCCATACATGGTCCTTGATGGAGTGTCAGTCTCAGAAAAGACCCCTGTGCCCAGATATATTTGTTCCTTTTGCAGCTCCTACCCTTTCTACATCACACTAACTCTCCCTCTTTCATGATTCCCTGCACTCTGCCGAAGGTTTGGTTATGAGTCTTAGTATCTGCTCTGAAACACTCCTAGGTAGAGTCTTTCAGATGCCTTCTGTGGTCGACTCCTGTCATACATCCAATGCACATCCCATTTGTCTTTCTAAGTGAGGATTGATCATCTTACTCTGTGTCCGATTTCTTGTTTATCGTCTTTAGGTTTATAGGTTATGTTTATCATATCTTGTAGATCTATATAAGCGAGTATATACCATGTCTGTCTTTCTCCTTCTGGGATACTTCACTCAGAATGATCTTTTCTAGATCCCACCATTTGCCTGCAAATTTCATGATTTGCTTGTTTTTGATTGCTGAGTAGTATTCAATTGTGTAAAAATACCACAATTTCTGTATCCATTCTTCCATTGATGGACATCTGGGTTGTTTCCAGGTTCTGGCTATTACAAATAAAGCTGCTACAAACATGGTTGAGCAAATGTCCTTATTGTGTACTTGAACAAATTTTGGGTATATACCTAGCAGTGGTATAGCTGGGTCTTGAGGAAGCGCTATTCCTAGTTGTCTGAGAAAGCACCAGATTGACTTCCAAAGTGGTTGTAGCAGTTTACATTCCCACCAGCAATGGAGGAGGGTTCCCCTTTCTCCACAACCTCTCCAGCATGTGTTGTCACTTGAGTTTTTGATCTTGGCCATTCTGATGGGTGTAAGGTGAAATCTCAGGGTCGTTTTGATTTGC